GAATTTGGTATTCTTCAAACTTTGCTTAATATACAATAAGGTTCTCGAATTAGAATAATATCCACAGGATTGTTTATTAAATTTTGAAATGATTGATGACTAGTAGTTTAGCAGTTTGAAGATTTATTTAAAGAAAACGAAGATGGATGTAGTTGAGACTAGTATAGTAGAAGAAATATTTTGCGAATCTTGCATTATTCTTGATAGTGCGTATGGATGTGGCATGTCTGATTTCTGCAAGGTATGTATGGCAAGAGGTAGTTGTTGCTGGATGTTTGCAATCATAACTTGTTGAATATCTTTCCTGATTGTTATAACACTTAATACAATATGGATATTGAGCTGTACAGGATGAAACATGATGGGATTCTCCACAGAACGAACATCTTGGTTTATAATTACATTCCTTTGTTTTGTGGGAGAAATCTTGACAGGTTTGACATTTATAGACGCCATAGAATTCGATTATTTTGTTGAAATAATCGAATTCCAATGAATATTCGTTTTTTAGAGATGCAGTTTTCAAAGGATTTCCCATGACATTCAATAGTGAATTTGTCAGTATTATTGGATTCATTTAGTTTAAAGAATGGTTTTAGATCTGATGTTCTTGATTGAGTTTATTGAAGAATAATACTGATAAGTTCATTAGGGTTGAAAGTTTTAGGAACTGAGTGAATAGAACATTTTGAGAGTCTAGCTTGATATTTGATATAAAGTATTTCTTTAGCATCCATCTTGGAGTTTACATAATGATGAATTTTTTATGTCTTCAACATCATTGCATTATAAAGCAATTCCTCCTTTCCTAATTGCATTAATTTTCTTGACGTTAATATTTAATTTATGAAGAGGTAATACATCTTGAAATTTGTCTTGAAAATTTTTACAAATTTATTTTTACATCTTTAGGATATAGAAATATAGTTTTATTATTAAGATTGGAAGGAATAATGTTTACGACTTCAGCATAAGATCTTTCTGCATTTTGAGGAAATGTATTTCTTGAATTATTCATTTGTAGATTAAGACATTATTAGAAGTCGTAGCAGTTGAAGGGAATTCCATGTTGTGTTATAATGGATGAGAAAGATCTTTATGATATTCCTGAGCTTCTTTATTCAGTTGGAAATTGAGAGGTTGTGAATTACAAGAGTTATTATTCAGAGTGGATTGGTCATGTTAATAACTTATAAACGGATTCAGATATCTTCTTTTCTGTTGATTTGCAGAAGTTTGTAATATTGGACTTGCATTAATAGGAGCCTCAACATTTGTTGGATGTGGGTTAGAAACTGAGCCTTGTCTTGAGGGAGAATATTTGCTGTTTTGTTGCAAATTCGAACATTTTATGGGAGGTGTAGCTGTATCCTTCTTGACAATTTCATTTGTTTTATTGTTGCTTGAATTTAAGATTTCATTGCTGCTTGAAGTTAAGGCATATTCCTTCAAGATATCAACTTATATTATATTATTTGTGCTAATTTTGTGTGATATTATTTGTGCTAATAAGTCTTTTGGGAGACTTTTTTTGTTTTTATTTTGTCTATTAAGAAGTGCAATACATTTATTATAAGTCTCTTGAATTTTTAGATTACTTTTAGATAATATATTTCTGTTCGGATTTTATTATGATCTGGAAACGTAGAAACATTGTAAAATTGTTCACTTGTTGCATATGGTAAGATTGTAGAGTAATTTGTTTTTTCAGAAAAATCAAGTGATGATTGGCTCGATGACCTTGAGATGTTAGAGTTCAGGGAAAGTATAATAAATTTATCGAGTATTATTTCAGTAAAAATACTATTTCATTAAAGATTTTTAAAAATTACTATTTTGCAAGTTAGAAAAGACTCTTCCAGACAATGATAAACTCAACGGCATCAGCCTGACCCGCGAAAGTCCTTGTCCGGTAGTAAATGCCGCCTCTTTTCGGTTATTAGGATGTATTTCTACCTGCCAATATCTACTTTTTAAATTAAGCATTGAAAACCACTTGCTTCCAGAAAAAGTGTCCGGAATTTCATCAGTTCTAGAAAAAGGGTAGCTGTCTTTCTTCGCAATTTCATTCAGCCGACGATAGTCAAAACAAAATCTAGTTGAACCGCCTTTCTTTCTGACCAGAACGATCGAAGAGGCCCATGAACTTGCTTAAAGGCTCGATAATATTGCTTTATTGCATGGCCTTTAGAATTTTTCAACTGCTTCCTGTTTAGCAATCGGTAGACGCCTTGGATATTGCTTGATGGTGGAAGATTCTCTGTATCATTTCTATGCTTTATCAAACTTGTTCGGCCTACGGCAGAAGATAGGAGGCAGAAAACATCTTGAAATTTTTGAATGACACATTTTTCAGCATTTCTCTCTTCATTGCGTAGTTGTGAGTTGTGCAATAACTCCACTCCGATTTTAGGTTCTTTGAAGACACTGTTTCTGGAAGGGTACTATTTCATTTAATGCAGGTGATTGGAGTAGATGCTGCAACCATATCACCTTTCCTTCTTTCCACATCATCTTCTCTTTATAACTGACATTGGCAAATATCACCGTAATAACTGTCCTCTTTAAGTCGACGAGTACCGAGTCTACTAGTACGCCTCGTGGGGTGTTACATCATAAATATAATCATAAAGGTTTTTCTTCGGCAAAACTATACTCAATACTAGGAATTATCGAAATATGGAATAATAATTCCTGCCAGATAGCCTGTCCTAAGCTGGTTGGTTACAGGAAAGCACATGAAGACCATCTGCTTAAGGGCAGAGATAACTCAGTGGAAAACGCTCTAAAGAGAAATGGCTTGTATTTTCCATACAACTAGCCCCATAGGCTAGGATTCGAATCCGGCTTGAGCTAAGTGTTTAGCGATTTTATCTACTTGGCCCTTCATGGTCAGACGAACTAAAGTAATTTTTAATCACATTATTAAATCTTCTTCCTCAATAATTCAGATAATCCGTTTTCATAAAAGTCGTGCTAAAAATGTCAAGCGGAGTTGTAGTTTTGATATGTCATATCATTATCGAAGTTTCAAGTATAAAACATTGCATTTCACGTGTGAATCCTTCTATGTTTAAATATTCTGTTAAGAAGAATCATATACAGGGTGGAAGTGCACCGGACATGTGCATTGATCTTATTTTAGAGTGACTGGTAGCTTCAATATATTTTACCGTTCTCTTCACATTTGTATCACATAGCAGAGTGCAGTGACGGAATGGGTAAATTTCATATTTTGCAATTTTTTTAAAGCTCCGTTAAGTGCCCTCACCATCTTAAGATTTTAATTTGCATACTTATTACATTTGGTTATTTGCTCTACTGATTCCACATATTGTAAAAACAATTTAGTGACTTTCCAGAGTTTGGTAGAATCATGCGACATATTATGATGTAAAACGCATTGGCGGAAAATTGGCTACGCCATGGCTCCATCAGCTCGAAATCACAAAACCTCAGAAGACTAAAACGATAGGATTTTATAGAGCTGGAGATGATACAAATTGATATATTCTGTCTTTATTTTTTACACCCTCGGGACATCTCTATGGCATGATGACGTTAAATACCCACATGCCACACGTATAATACCCACATGCTTCACCAGAAGATTAACGGGAAACGATGGCTGTAACGAAGATTACAGCCTCACTAATATTTACTATTCAATATTTGGTTAGTGTCAAGTTGCTTCTTAGATTGCCATTTGCGCCGAATACCATTTTGAGAGGTAGATGCTTTAAGCCAGGCAGTTACGCAGAATAAGTTTTATTTCTCGCTATGTTTTATTATGCGTCTTTCTTGAAGGCTTATCATTTTTGCAATACAATCTAAAAGCAATTTTTCCTCTATGTACCACGTTACATTTTAACTTTAAATATATTCTGGATTTTTCTAATTGTCAAAGTCAAGAAAATCGCAGAAATTTGGTATTAGATTTTAACAACTAGCAGACATGCTGATTTGTGGATTCTGAATTATAGATGGCTGTAAGTTTAAGTGTAGTCCAAAGATTCCTCTCTAGTACGATTTATAGGTAGTTAGAGCTATTGTTCTATTTTGCTCTTGTCTGGCCCACCAGTCGTCGAGCGGTATTCGCTGAACAGTAGTAGTTCGCTCTGGGGTTCGAAACCCGGTGAATGGTCTTGTTGTATGGGCGTTTAATCTCTCGTAGCTGGCACCTTATTAACCGACAAAACTGTATGGACCTCTTTATTTTTCTTCTGATTCTTGCAGTCATTTAAACTGCATGTCTCACTTTCTTGGACTGAAGATGGTGGTCAAACACTTGACCACCCTGCTCTGATAATCATTTCATGCGATGTCTTTCTTTGAAGGTTTATTAACGATATTGTGTAAAAATCAGAGATGATGTATCTCATCAAGATTAATGATAACCAGTGCTACCACTATTGTCACTGTTACATTTAAATTTCTGCAACGAACATGGATGGAACTATTCTGTTTTTCGAATGCGTTTGAGAAATAACCAAAGCGCACGGGGAGACATGCAAACTATGCAGAATAAGAAACAAATTTTAATGTGTCTTTTCAATGATAATGTATGATACTATTTATTGTAATTTTCTCATTAATGCAATATTTAGTTATATATTTATTTTATGAACACTTATTAATACGGGCGTTCCTTAAAAAGTACCTAAAATATTTTTTAGAGCTTTCCTTAGTTTCTGCCGTAATGGTTTAAGTTGCACTAAGATTACTTGATAGAATTTGTTGCGAATCTGATAGATTACTATAAGCAAGAAACTAATAATCTGAAGGAAGTAATTTAAATGCGTTTGTGGTTATCATAAACAAATTTACATACGCTTCGAATTTATTACGAAATTTGGCGATATTGCACGGTTTTACAGCTGAATTACTCAAGCGAGTGAAACCCTTATTTTTAGAATATCTTAAAAAATAATATCTGTTGCAGAACATTAATAAGCGATAAAACATTAATAATGCCATAATATTTTCCTTTTTCCTTTACAGATTTCAAGACTGAAGGCAACCATAAATGGAAGAACGCAATATCAGATTCCGACATGATTATGTGCCAACTTTGTATCAAGACGGGTGAGTAAATAAGAAACAAACATGCACCTGTATATTTTACCGTGGAACGCTTCCATGACTATTTTACAGTCATTTGCAAAGCATGACGCAAAAATCATGCATGGTCACAATGACTATTGTTTTCCTGTCATAGATCTAATAATTGAATCATTATCTCCAAATAAGAAAAATCATGTTTTCCCGTTTGGTTGTTTTTTTTCTTTCTTCTTGCGGTTTGCTGCACTTTTAACTTAAAATGCAGGACGGAAGATCAACATTACCTCGGTGTTTAATGTCATCAAAATGCATCAAAAGGAGACTGATATGTATTTTGCGTTTTGAAAGATGAGATTTTCTTTTTTAATGTTATGTGTAATTTCAAACAGCTTTACCTATTTCTTATGATATACGATTTTTCAGATTATGAAACAAAGGAATATTTGATAGAAAATTAAATCAACGATTCTCAGTTCCCTCCTATTTCATTTTTTGACCATGTATCAGAATGTCTTTACTTTAAGGAGATTTTTATTCAAGTTGTCTGTTCCAGTTACTATGTAAAATTGAAAATTGCAATTTTTTATTTTAATATGCTATAAGATATGCATAAATTTAAAATTTAGTTTAAAAACACATATTACGAGTAATTATATATTTATAATTAATAAATCGTTTAGTTTCGCTGCGCTTACATCTTGTCTATATTTTTCAGTCTTTCTGGGTACCGAAATTTCTTCCACATCATACCGCGAGCCTTCTGATATACAATCTGTGACAAAAAAATATATGCATCCAGAAAGAAACGAACTGATATCACGAAACTTAACATGTATGTAATGTATGAGGAGATAAACCAATGATTACAAATTCAGAACAAAAATCGTTTTATTAAGAATTATGGCATGAAAAGGTTACCAAATTAGTAAATAGTATAGCTAGCTCTAGCAGCTATGGAAGTCGAAACACGGCGTGGCATCGAATAAAGTAAGTCACCTATAACCCCCTGCGGAAGATCATGCCATAATCTTTGCAACTGGGCAGTTAATTCACCAATATTCCGGGACGGCTGCAGTTGCCTTCCAAGCATGTCCCAACCAAGCTGTACTGGCGAGATGTCTGGTGACCTGGCAGTCCACGGAAGTACTTCATATCCTTGAAGATATTGTTAGGAGAGCAGTATGTGGATGAGTATTGTCTTGCTAATAAATGGCACCTGGGCGACTTGATAGCATATGTCGTACAACCGGCGTTGAAATGTCGTCCACGTAACTGCGAGCCGTCATAGTGCCTTGAAGATGACTAAAGGTGATCGTGTGTTTCATCAAATCGCTCTACACACTGTCACATCTTGTGTAATTGCTGTATTCCTCTCAACAACAAATGCCGGATCGGACAACTGGAATGGCCGCCTCCACACGCGTGTGCGTTGGTCATCAGCATTGAGACTGAATCGAGATTCATCGCTGAAGATCACAAGTCTCCAGTCGGTCACACTCCAGCTTGCTCGAGTTGTGGAAAATTCCAGTCGACACTGCTTATGATGTGGGTTCAGTGGTAGGCGTCTTAACGGACGTCGGAAGCATATACCAACGTTGGCCAGTCGTCTCCGAATGTTTTCCCTTTATACCACTGGATGCCTGGAAGGTCGTAAATGGCATTGAACCGATGCTAGCGAAGTTGTTGGTGCGGAAGTGGCCGCTCTTATGATTACGTGATCCTCGCGCTCATTTGTGTTCTTGAGACCCTGGTCCTCCTCCGTGACGGTAGACTATCCCTTCTGTCATCCATTGTTGCCAGCACCGAACAACTGGCAAGTAACTCCGATGGAGATGTCGTACTATATCCCTATTCGACCAACCTGCTTCTCTGAGGACTACTATACGAACCTTCTTAAAGTTAGATAACTGTTCGTACTTTCGCCGGTTACGTTTTAAAGGCAACTTTAGTAACAATACCGTCCATCCAAGTGAACAGATTCGTTTGAATCGGTACGAGAAATCATGTTTTTAAACTCTCCCAGCTGCACACCTCATATACGTATAGCACGCTTAGGTTTGTCTCATTGGCGTCGAAATTTAAATCATTTACATATCTCTTACGAGTCTGCATTGCTGCCGAGTTTCATGATTGTGGCTCAATTTCTTTTCGCGCATATCTTTTTTTTTTTTTTTTTTTAGACAGATTGTATTATCTGAATATACAGATCTCATCTCGAATGAATTTTCCTTAAAACAATGAAATTCACTCCCTAGGGAAAATTTTCACCTGAACGAAAATTCTGGAATAAAAATAATCTTTGCTAAGTTATGCGTGTTATATTTTTTGAAAAAATTAAGTTGTAGAATTTTAGGCTTTCTTCGGAGAAAGAAGTCTGAAGAAAAGTCCTAGTAAGATGTCTCCTCACCAGGACATAAATCCGGGGACCTTCCGAATTAAAGCCGGACGTGCTTCAACACACACGAGACCACACAATAGGGGCTATACATACTTTCTTACAGTCTTCCCCATTTAAAAAGTGGCTGCGGAGAGGCATGAGACTTAGTCGACTAAATTCAAGTGGGAGACGAATTACCATACACCTTTTTCAGTCAAGACAGCACTGCAGAGGTATTATGTTTATTTCAGAATAGAAAACATGAAGAGTCAGTGAAATCTTTGTCGGGATTCAAACCACGTATTTTCTAATTGCCATTTGCATGTGCTATAATTTACATTACGGCAGCGTGTCCAAGAAAATGTGAAAATTCCTTATAACCTCATATAGAAAGAAAAGCATAATCTCTTGATGGTTTTTCTAATAATTTAATTTAAACTCAGTTAACTGTTCAGTAAACTTTAATACAAGCAATGACTTATTTTTGCCATGAATATCATTGACTTGAATTGAAAGCGTGAAAAGAAACACGCTTTAGGTGGCATAGTTAGCTATTATTTTGAAACTGAGAAGCTCAACAATTTATATACATCTTGAACATTACGGGAAAAAAATATATTGATTTTAAAATAAATACTGACGGACAATTTTGTTACTAAGCAGTTATACCTAATTTCTTTCAGGCCTTTAAATGTTTCTCCACACGACAGCTTTAACATTGGAAATCATTTTAATTCACTGACCACTCATAAAGTAATTCTGCCAAAACCGAAAGAAATAAGAATTCTCTTTCCCCTGATGGAATCGAATATGACGGAACGAATGCCATGGATGGCCCGTCTGTGCCACCTGCAAGGACGAGTTGATCATCGTCTGACAAAAGTGCTAAAGGACAGAGGAACAGCATGCAATCACGGCCATTTGCTGATACCAGATTACGTTGTACCTGGTTATACTGGTAAGAACCAAAATTGTCTAGATCTCACAGACTATGTTAATCTGTCGAAGGATCTTACTGTATTTAGTATGCTATTTAAAGCTGCCCGAAATATGATTACAAATGTCATATTTTTTTTCCCAAAAAATGTTTTAAAAATACTTCACAGTTTAATATCTTTTGAGTGTTTGATTAGTTGTACACCCACAGTTACAGTTTATGAAATTAAGGAATAAATCAAGTATTAAATTATGTTTTTAGGTGGTGACAGTTTTGATTCCGGGACACCATTTATTAGAAATATAGAAAACCTAAATTTTTTATCTGGGCTTTCGAAGGGAAAAAATTAAAACATTTTATAGACCAAGGTTATCAGACCATTTCGAGTGAACGGCCTGTTGTAGGCCAGAAATCGTTGGATGTTCCGAAAAAAGTATAATTAAAGGAAAACACTAAAAAATGGACTGTAAAATTAAAAATTGAAAATTGATGCAACTCTTTTGTACACTAAAATACAGTGAAAGCGGAAATGTTGCAAATGAAACGTAAAAGACCACGAATTTATTTACTAATGTACGCTAGAATTATTTTCCATTATGCTATATTTTTTCGCATGTAGCCTAGTTCCTAGTTAATGTGATCCCTTCCAGCATCGAACTGATATATAACCGTACACCTGATGCAGCAATGAGCAGAGTTACTATAATAAGATACTCATGTATCATACCTTCCTGTTAGGCCGCGAAGCACAGGTTCCTGAGCCGAAGTCCTATCCTACACTAAAATTAAATATGTGATGAATAACGTAAAGATAACATTTCAGATATGAACGATAAACAATCTGAAGGGAAGAAGTTCGTAGGTAGGTAATAATAGCAAAAAGTTCATAAATGTAAATTGAGGTACAAGTCCAAGTTCAGAGTAACAAAACTGAAGCAGGTAGATGTCGAAGAAACTGGAGAGAGTAGGCTTACAGAATGAAGAGACAAAGATGGTGTTTAATTTCACGTTTTAAATCTGCAATGCATACGGTAGTATCTGTTAGAAATGCTAAGCCATTCAATAACTGGTATTTCATAAAAATCGTGTTTTTGTTTCAATTCCTTCAAGCTGTGTTCCGCATTTAGCGAGTGCCATCAATTTGTCGGGCTACTGAATATGGTTGAATTTCACTCCCATCTGCTGATTCCAGGTCTTCAAGAAAGACTTTAACCTATGTATGATAGTCCCCATTAGACTTTATAAGTGATTGTAATAAAAATTTCTGTTGGATGCTCTTAAATCTTGCGCACAGTCAGAAATAAAACTTGTAGAATATATCATCTTCAATTCAGAAATAAAACTTACAATAAAGAAATTTGTCTGTATTTGAAGTCTGTATTTATTTTGGGACAAAAGGAATCAGAAGTGCAGCATGAATATGTTTTAAACGGAGGATAAAAGTTAAATACTATAAGGGAAAATGCATAAATAGAAAGTAGAAAATGTAAAATTTACATTTGTCTCAGACATAGTTTGGTGAATTCTTTGAATAAAAGTAAGATGTGTAAAAGAAAATCCGTCATGTTTTCTATGGCATTCCAAAAAGTTAATATAGTCATTACTAATTAATACAATACATTAGAAGGAAAAGTTGTGAGTATCTCCTATTTAATAGTATAAAAATAAGGAAATGTAATATTCAATTAAACCATATAGAAGGAACCTTGTACGTAAAAGTTCCAGAAAGGCCATGAAGGCCTGCTGAGTGAAATTTTATGCGCGTAAATTCCAGCTTAAATTTCGTAGACAAAGCCATATATGTCTATATATATATATATATATATATATATAAGCTTACGTTTGGAGAAATGGAGATCAAAAAGCATTTCAAGCAAGGGAAATAAGTTAAGGGTAAAATAAAAATGCAACAAGAAAAATTTTAAAGAGTAGAAAACATTGGCATTTATAGAAACGAAAAAAGTGAAAAGAAAAAATTAAAATTTACTTTTGCAAGTAAAATACATTAGCGAAAAAATAAAAGCAAAATTTGAATTTGTAGAAACACAGAAGTGAAAAAAATTATGAAATGAATATTATTTTTAAGTGAAAAAATGTAAAACAACTTTTTTAAAAATAAAGAGCGTAAAGGAAAAATTTAACTTGCAAAAATAAATATTACTTAAAAAAAATAGGTTTAAACATAAAAACTTTTTTAAAGTAAAAAAGTGAAATGGAAAAAAGCTTCTGCTAAATGGGGGGGAAAAAATGAAAAGAAAATATAAATTCACCTTTATAGGAATAAAATTGTAGAAACATTAATTTCGACATTAAGATTTAGGTTTGGAAGAGGGAAAAAAACTAATAAATTTAATTTAGTAGGAATGAGAAGTGAAAAAGAAAGCAATGAAAATATGCTTGGAAAATAACAAAGAAAAATTTAAATTTTGGTAAAATCTTACATTTAAAACAGCGAAAAATAAAGCAATGATTTAGAAAGCCTAAAGAAATCTATGTCCACTATAAGGAAAAAAACTTGCTGTGAATATCTGAAATATGAAGGATATGGCTATCGAGAATCTGAGTGTATTCGTTCGCCGTTGCAGAACTGTGAAGTGGTTCTCATGTCAAGGCAGGTCCGCGCATGAGCAATCTGTCAGCTTAGTGACATCATGGTGGTTTCCACTGTACAAGCTCAAATCGACAAAGAGGGTGGACAAGGTGAAATAACAAGAAATATGGCTTTGTTGTAACGCCCATGTCTCCCGTGGTGGTTATTTTTAAAATTCAGGGAAAATAATATTAAAATTCAATAAAAATTATTTAAAGCTAATAATTAATAATTAAAAATAATGACGTACTAAATTTTTAAATTAATCTATGAAACATTTAAAAAGCATAAATAATTAAAAAATGATAATCTAAAAATGATTAAACAGAGCTGAACATTTTTTTAGAGAACAAAAGAGTCATCTGTAAAATGATGAGCAACTAGCTGTTTTGAAGCACCTTTTCTGTAGTTGCCTGAAAAAAAATTAAAATTTTTATACGTTTTAAGTCATGTGACTAAATTTATCTTTACCTTTTCTGGGAAACATTTATTGGAACGAACATCGCTGGAGAATAAATTTTATATTACTAATTACACCTTATATTTTTAAAGGATAAAACTTAGATCATCACGCTGGTGTTACCAAATAGTGCAAATAATGTTGATATGTTTTCGAAATATCCGTAAAATGTACCAAAAATTGCTAAATAACTTCCCTGCTACTGTTTTTCCATTGAAACGTTTAAATTATGTTTTAATTTATTAATTTTTCTTCGTCCTTTAAGCTTTGGCCCAAAAAAGAGGTTTCCTCAATTATACGGAATTTTAATAAAATCACACAGTCGAAGCATAAGCTTTTTCATTGACTTTGGATGCACTAAATAAAACTAAACAACTCAGAGTGTGCTTATGACGGGAACTGACACAAGGGGGCAGGCATTAGTCGAGGGATGACGTCTAGAAACTATCGAGTTCTAAGACCTACTGTATACAAGTATTCGTATTTCCCTACATAAACCGTATTTAGCAACTTTTTTCCTGCTTAAGTGTGGGGGTGAGCCGAGTTCAAAATAAATAACAAATAATTTTATCCCAAAAATGATATCATAGGTTAAATGATTTGTTTTTAAATATTTTTATTTTATTTTATCTTAATGCAAATTAATCAAATTTCTTGAAATCAATACCCGACTCAGAATTTTCTAGCAATTCTCCGAAGTCTTTGCTTGAGGAAATTCCGGTGAATGTCATCATTCTCCATTTCATCATTCATATTATTCTTATCCGCCTTGTAGAATATATCATCAGAAATAAAACCTGAGAAATCTCACCAAATTTGACTTGACGGTTACGAATATTTAGACCTGATTTCTTTATTCTGCAAGACCTATAAACTATAATCTGCTACCTTGGAATAGGCACTTAAGCCATTTCTTTTCCTTAAACATGACTGATAACCATAGCAACAGCTGCTGCGGAAAAAAGTCTTATCCTCTAATTTGCTAAAATCCCTAGTTGCTGCAGTTTTACCCATAAAATTCCTCGTCTAAATGTCTTGAATGCTTGGGCCTTCTTATGGGCATGCTTAGATAATGTTCGAGTACAAAGCTTTTCTAGAGTGAACCCTTATTAGGATTAAAAAGGTCGCGATTAACTATCTAAGCTACATACTCTAAAAAAATTGTACTTTCCACCCCTACCGAAAAATCACGAAAAAGTATTGGCGAGACAATGTACAATATCACCAAAATACATTTAAATACCAACCAGGTGTGCTCATAGAACATGTGTGTTTGAGTACATGTAGATTTGCACTTTTAAAATTAGTACTTTTCCCGATTAGTATTTATTTTTTGATTGAATCGTTGACAACATTTGTTTTTGTTGTAACGAGTAACTGCCTCCGAGAAATGTGCCTGTCTTCTATGGACAAAGAGTGTAAAGAAATAGGTGGCATTAGATGCATCGTTGAAACAGATTCAAATAATTGAAAATGCTGTCTTCAAAGTCGCCAAAGTGTTCAAAACTTTTCGGAAACGATGCCCATAATCAGAAAATACCTAAAAAATCAATATTTTTACATTGCTGACTGATTCTGCTTCATTTCTTTACGTGAAATAAGACTGGAGCCTCTGTTAACAAATATTACATGTGCAAACATTGTTTTGTACTTAATGTTTGCATAGAGTATAAATCCTTGCTTACACAATTTTATTTAATTAACATTCATTTTTTTCAGGTTGCCTACAAAAGAATCCAGCTTCATCTGCTCACATTTTTAAACGCTGCTGCCCGATGGCAAATTACGATTATGACGTCATTCAGAAAACCCTGCCGTATGAATTTCAGAACGCTGGAGATCCTTGCAGGCAAATCACACCTATTGTTCCAGGACTGCGACTTAGCTTGGGTCGTAAAGAGTGGACATAATGTTTCAAGGAATATCAGCTTAAAATTGTTGCTTCGGGTATTCAAGGAATAATACAGATAAGAGAATTTTCGGTGGTATTGTTTCCAAAAGAACGTTGAATATAAAATATGAATGAATTGAAAGCTACAATAATTTTCCACATAAATAAATAACACAGAATTTCAAAATGTCTTTTCAATTGATTCTGTTCCTAGCACTGTAGTGTAAAATAGTCTTGATAAATATTTATATAAATTAATGCCTATGAGATTAGTTGTAACTGAAAGTCTACGTCGCAATTTTATGTACTGCCAATAATAACTATGCCCCACGGATCCGTTAGTGACTTTTTTAACTATTTGTTTGTTTTGTTTCATAATGTTATAGGAAAAAAAACATGATAAGAGTACTGAACAACTTAATAGCTAGAGGTTCGGCAAAATGTGTTTCGTGTAAAAGGGGTTCTCGATTTTAAAAAGATTTTTTTTTTATGAATAGCTATTCTACAATTTATGAGGCAATACAAAATTTATATCTATTTAGAATAACTATACCTGAAAACGTTATAAGAGAGTTGACAGCGCAAAATTCGTTTCCTTTTAGACCCTGTTAAAATAAAAAAAGCTCACAGTTAACGCAAATTACTAGTAATTAAACGTGTGTTTAATAAAATTTTGCTTCATGAATATGAGCTTGGAAACTATTAATGTTTGGAAAATGAATGATTCTTACTTCAGATTTTTTTGTAGAATAAGAACTGCATTTTGTCCTCTCTCATGCTTCTCTACGGAATTAAATTAAATTACTGAAACAGCTAATTTCATAGTTTAGAGATAGAACATATTCTAATATGCGATATATTTTATGTTACTGTGTTTAATAATGCGGTATATCATGGACTGTGATGCACAGAATATTTTATTATTACTTTATTTAATGTATCAGTTGTATAGTTTATCAATTCAGCTTAGTCTTAATTAATGTATATCGTACGAATATCCTATTTTATACAGCGTTCGGCATCATCCGCCGTAAGAAATGCAGTTCCCGTGGTGATAAAAGCAGTATAGTATGTATTTTCACTGCTTTTTACTGTTAAAATGACAATATAATGTAAATATACGAAGAGCAGTCTCTGAAAGCCTGGATCTCTTATTAAGAGGATTCAAGTGGGTTTCAATAGGGGATAAGGGGTCCATTGCCCCTTCTGTGCTGTTGTGTAAGTCCTTCAAATAATATCTCGCTTCTTTGTTTGAGTGAATAAGGATTCTATTCATTGTCCTTGAAATTTGAGATCTTCATCAGTGTTCTTTTATTCTATATCAGTAAGAAAACAAAATTAAAGAATTATTTCCTCGTCTGTAAATGAGGATGAAAGAAATGTACAAGCCGCGAGTAAATACAAAAATACATAATATATTGACTGAAGTAAATGAAGAGGATATTGTAGAATAAAACAAAAATGAAACATTAAAAAGCTTTAAAACAAAAAAATATTGAACACTAAGGAATTCTTTTTTCGTTTAAAATTCGCTTCTTGTTATTCACAGCATGTATGCGGAAGTGCTTCAAGAGCAGACAAACCCTAGATGCCATAGCGATTCGCGGGATGCTAATTTTTATTTTAATCTCTTCCTTTTCAATTGTTGTTTATTTCTCAAAATCTTGTGTTTTCGCAAAACTATAAATCTCATTTACTCGAAATGACTATTAAGAAATTATTTTTGCAAGCGCATACTACAGTTCGTAGGCCTTCGCTTAGATTTAAAGATGAGAACAAAACTGGCTTATCTAGATTTCGAGCAAAATGGCTGAATTTAACGACAATGCGTCACTTCCACCGTAATTCCACCGTTTCCTTTTAACAAAATTAATCAGACAGGAGAGTGACAATAGTATATTAAGGCCAAGGCTGAGTCAAAGCACGAACGGTCAAGATTCAGTGGTCACAAATGTTATTTATTTCCGGCTTTTTAGAGATTTCTAGGCTTTTCCTATTCTTCAAGCAAGAACTATTTTATTTCAGCCATATAATTGCGACATTATTAGTGGTTTGGGAAAAATGTTACAGTGTAGTCCTCTGGAGTAATATGTATCCGGGAAATTTTACGTTTTCTTTCCCCATGTTCTCATTTAAAAGCGATTAGTTTCGCAGCATAAGCAAATGAAACTGATTGCCAAGAAATTTGATAATGAATTAACTGAGCCGTTTAATTTTATGATTTGCCCAACTGATCGAGTATGTAGGAGATGCCCTTAACATTTAAATCTCAGATACAGTTCAGGAATTTATATAGCATTGATTATTAATTTCAGATTTGGTAGCCATTCCTGAAGTCTAAGATACTCTTAACACCTTTGATGGAAGATTTACAAGAAGAATTATCGGTATTTATTGTCTCTTTTTAGAATTGAAGCTGAACTTGAGTAAGATGATTCATTCTACCCTTTCAACAAATTGAAGTTAAATTTAACTGAAGGTGCTTTAATCGCCATATTCAAAAGGGAAGGAAGCAAAAAAAAATTATTGACTTCAGTACATTAGACGCAGGACATTACCCTCTATAAAGCGACTGGTTTCATGCGTTATTTTGAAGTTAGTACCAAAATTAATTTCGTAAAATCTCTTAAATGGGTTGTAAAAGTTTGGATTCGAAAGAGAATATAACCTACTACATCACAGTTTAGTTCATTCACTTAGTATTTCTCAGTCATGAGGTCCGACCAACATCAGCAACCTGACGCTGGCTGTACATCAAGATTTATGTCGGAAAATTTTATAATTTAAATATACGCAAAATCATATTTCTAATTTACCACTGAAGTAACTAATATATTTTCATTCTTCAAATTATTAATTTCTATAAGAATGCCTAGTCTATATCAAGGAGAACCGCACCATTGGCCGAGCAGATAAAGACTGCTGAATATTAGTAGTTCATCCCGAGATCCAACCTCGTCGAACAGACTATCTGCTGGTTTAGTTTTCGTTATTTTTTCCAGGAACAATTTGATATGAGTCAGATTCCCTTATGAAATCTTCCACGAGGACCCACCTTCCTTTAGGCCCATAACCACCGTGTGGTTGGCCGTATTCAAATAACCTAATTTGCATCAAGAGTCTCCAGTCTTTTGGAAATTCTAGGGTGAACAGCCTCATAAAGACGAACCCAGTGCTGCAGTGTCTAATGTAAATGTTAAGAGCTGTATATAGAACTAAACAGTTATTTACAATAAGAATTTAACTTTCAAAGCAATTGCTATTGCATTTCATAAAAATTACACTTACGTTTTCGTTCAGAATGTATTTTTTGGAAGAAAATATGAATTTAACATTTTTATATTAATACTGAACATTTTCGTTCTTAAATACCAGGTCAAAAATATCTTAATCATAGATATGATGGCGATTGCGAAGATTTTCCTTTAGTTTACCTTTCTGTGTACTTTTAAAGCAGAAAAACTGCTCGCAAACATATGTTCATTCAGTGAGAGATATGGTGAATAGAAAGCATTTGTTAAACTCTCTTCAGGTATGTACGTTTTCGTTCAGAATGTATTTTTTGGAAGAAAATATGAATTTAACATTTTTATATTAATACTGAACATTTTCGTTCTTAAATACCAGGTCAAAAATATCTTAATCATAGATATGATGGCGATTGCGAAGATTTTCCTTTAGTTCACCTTTCTGTGTACTTTTAAAGCAGAAAAACTGCTCGCAAACATATGTTCATTCAGTGAGAGATATGGTGAATAGAAAGCATTTGTTAAACTCTCTTCAGGTATGTACAACTCATAAAAAGACGCTTACGAAAGTTTATGTTGTATATTCGTTTGCAGTTCTGTGTGTTCTATTTGCAAGTTTGGTGTAAACTGTGAATGACATCGTATATATACTGATGAAAATCGTGTTTTCTGAAATCTCAAAATGTATTCTCAGTGTCATATAATAAAATGGAAAATCAATATCGCTTATTTCCTTCGGTTTACATAAGTTATTTTAGGTACAATTTCAAGTTTGATTGGTTTATTGATTAATTGTTTAAGGCAAAAAGGACCTACTGGTAGCCGAACGGTAAAACTAGTGAACCTTGCTAGACTCAAATTTAGATTCTGGCGTACGGACGGACTGCATGGGAATTTTCGTGGTTTCCTCCATGTGGTAATGTGAAAGCGTGCCTGTTTTCCTTAGAAAGACCTTCTACGAAGGCATCTCGCCCCTTTAACCAGACGAACCATCGAATACTTGGTTATAATTGAAATAATTAAGATACAATTCGAAATATATATCGAATATATATCGATATAATCGAAATAATCAAAAAGTGGGAAGCAAAACACAACATGCGTCTGCCTAAGCAGACGGATAACTTCATGGAAAGCTTACGAAAGGAAATTCAATTTTATTCACTTTAAGCGTGAGGAAAGTGTAGTAAGCCAGCGACCGAGCGATAAAGTTGCTGAACAGTGATAGTTTGTCCTGGGTCCGATTCCAAATGAATGGGGTGGTTGGCTGCAGGGCATTTTCGTAGTTTTCCCCTTGTATAACTTAGATACGAACTAGCGTTCCCCAGAAAGTCTCTCTCCTCAGGCAGACAAGTGTTACGATCTCAGCCATAATCAAATAAACCAAAACAAAACAAAACCACGTAAGGAAAACTACAGAAATGTTTATAAGGCGTGTCAGCATGGGTGTAACCACGATCCGAGCCAGAGAGGTGCAAATAACTCCAGATTCAGGAATCAAACTCGTCTGGAATACCCTCGCTAGTTCTCAAATGGAAAGATAGCTGAGCATTGGTAATTTGGCTCAAGAGTTGGAATCGCGGCGAAGCGGCTAACTGCAGGAACATTTTCGTGAATTTTCGCCAATATTTGTGATGGATGTATAAATATATATAAAAGATCTATAAATATATAATCTATAAAATTTTACACATATAAATAATCTAGATTAATCTATAAAAGATGGATACGAGGCAGTTTCTATTAAAAAAATCCTTCGCGAATGTATCCCTTTCTTTTGGCAGATAGCTGTAATCGAATAACTCCGTGTTTTCCCTTAAACGAATAAGTAATAGACCCAAATACATGGTTAAATAGATTGTTAAAGTTAGAGAATGGAAACAATGAAATTCCTGAAACTTTTATTCATGTTTTAACGTGTACTATTAACCGATTCTCTTGACTG